ACATTCAAAGTTGCAATTTTGAGTTTGAATTTTGGAGGCATGTAAATGTATAAAAATTTTGACCTAATTAGGTCTGTAAGAGCAGTTCCTCATTGTGTTGTTTTCTGTATGAGCTAGGCCTTAATTGGTTTTTATCTTGTATGCTCTTTTCTGTTTTATCTTTGTCTTTTTTTATGAGATGGCATAGGGGCCTTCTCATTGTCAACTTCCATTATAGGTAATGTTTTATCTGTATTTTTGTTTCCTTTCTGTGGTTCTGCATTAAGATACAGTGCAGCCAGTTCATCTCAAGGTGCTAGTACTGGGTCAGGTGAGAGGTCCTTATCTTTACTTAGTGTAGAGTTTCTTTTGTTATTGTCTATTTCCATTGAAGATAACAAAGGCCCATTTTGTTCTTCTTGTGTTAAACCATTTTCTTGTAAGCCTGCACTGCCAGTAATAGGTATATCATCTTGCAAGTATGGGTTTTCTTCTTTGTTAGCAGAATTAGTTGTATGAGATTCTTGTTCTGGCCTAATATTTGTGAAATTATCTTTGCTGTATAGTTGAATTCTTTTTTTGAAGTCTTGATATTGTTGGTGGAGGGCTACTGATTCCTGAAATAGCTTGCATTCCTTTTTAATATGCACTTCTTTTTCACAAAAGTAGTATACTTTTGCTGCTGCCTTCCACTCTGTTGTAATCTTGTTATCTCAAATATGGGTAAACCTTGGTATTTTACTTTCTAAAAATAGATCCCCTGTAGTCTTAAAATTATGACCTACTGATCAGTTAGGTATGGTGTATCTTCAATTAACAGGGGTTTAATTGATGCTATTTTACCTATATTCTCAAAAGCATCTTTGATTGAGTCTGACAGTTCTTCTTTGTTGCCTAATGGAATGTTTCTGATTTTGACTGGCAAGAATGATTTTCTCATATCTATTGGAACATATCCAAAATATGTTCTGTTAAAAATTTTAACAACTTTTGTTGCATAGATCTTTAGTTTTTCTTTATCTGTGAAGATAATTTCTAGATGTAATCATGTTCCTTTAGTAAGATGTTTTTTTTTTTTTTTAAAAAAAAAAAAAAAAAAAAACTGCAATTAAGTGTATTTATTTATTCATTTATTAGAAGATAATTGTGAATTAAATATGGCTATTATTTAGATTAATAAAGTCTAAAATTTCTTTTTTCAAAGCAGTGCCTTTTTTGGATTCTCTTTATTGTAAAGTGTTAAGTACTTTAATTTCTTTTCTAAGTCTACTATTTGTTATATTGCTAATTATATTGTCTGATATT